GAGTCGACACACTCATCCAGCATCAACATCCGTCCTCTGAGACACTTTGAGGACGTGACAGCAGCTGTGTCAGAGCTCATAGATGAACTACAGGACGTCTTGAGAGACTCATGGACAAACATCTCACTGAAAATCACTGAGGTGGATGTTCTACTGTCAGAACCAGAACCAAAGACCAGAGCTGATTTCTTAAAATATTCATGTCAAATCACTCTGGATCCGAACACAGCTCACAGTTATCTGTTACTATCGGAGAGGAACAGGAAGGTTACCCATGTGCCTCACTGTCAGTCTTATCCTAGTCATCCAGACAGATTCACTAATTATACTCGTATTCTCAGTAAAGAGAGTCTGACTGGACTTTGTTACTGGGAGGTGGAGTGGAGAGGAAAAGTTTTTGTAGCAGTCGCATACAAGAATATCAGCAGAGCAGGAAATCATAATGAATGTGTATTTGGATGTAATGACAAATCTTGGGCATTAGAGTGTCACTCAACCAGTTTTAAATTTGGTCACAACAACATCTGGACCTCCATCTCAGCTCCAGTTTCCTCCAGAGTCGGAGTGTACCTGGACCACAGAGCAGGTATTCTGTCCTTCCACAGCGTCTCTGAATCCATGACTCTGATCCACAGAGTCCAGACCAGATTCACTGAGCCGCTTCATGCTGGAGTTTTGCCTTGGAACCGAGGCGACTCTGCTGAGTTCCACAAACCCAATTAGATTTTCTCTCTTTTATCTGACTGTTGATCAGAATTCATTGTTCTGATGTCTCTGCTCTGTTCTTTATTTTTCTGGTTTAAATATTGTTCTCTGTGTTTTCACACATATTTCTCTTCATGTAAATCTAAACTTTTCTGGGCTCTAATGGTTTTGCTTTTATATTTGTATTAATTTGGATGATCTGGTTTTTCTTCCTGTTCTGCAGAACAAATGTTGTTCTTCCTTAAATCAGTTGAGATTGAAGTGACCTTTCTTCTGTTTTCTTTATTGTAATCCAAATAAGAAATTGAAACCAACATCAACTTTGAACTGATGCCAATCATTGTTTTTAAATTATTTTCATTCATATCAAGAAAATAAATGTTTGCTGTTTTGTCTCTTTGTCTTTTATCAATAAAACAAATTGTTGTAGCATAACCACTATGCTTGTTTTCTTTTGAATAAATACATTAAAGAGTAAATATATCAAGCTGTTTTTCAGAACAGTTTCTGTTATTTCATTGTTAAAAAATTATCCTAAATTTCAAACTGACTATTTGGGCAGCATCTTGCTGCCTTGGGATCACCAAATAAAAAGGGGCGTGTGAGTCAGACGCACACCGTCAGATCTGTGCAGCAGGAAACTTGACAGATGAATATTTAAAACAAACAAGTAAATCAAAGAAAAGACATAAAATGGCAATCGGAGTTCGCCCCTGCACCACAGATCGTGGATTTATTAACTGGATCGTAGCGTGGACCCAGGAAACGCTGGCTGGTGCGAGAGGATGCCGTCGTGGTGAGATGTAGACTTTATTTTTCTTTTTTGGATTTTTGGTGGTACCACTATTTTGTCATTTTGGATTTTTCATTTTGGATTGGGACTTTGGATTAAAAAGGGGAAATACTCCAGGACTTTGGGGGTTTTTGAGGATACGGGACTCTTTTGTGGACATTATTCTGATTGGAATGAAACGGTCATTTTTGGACATTTATTAATGTATTTTTGCTGATATTTTTCAAATCTAATCTATAATTATTTTTGAGGGATTTTTGGTTACTGATCTATTTATCAGAATAACTACTATTATTTCTTAATATTATGGTTTTTGAATAAATCATTGTTGCTAAAAGTCAACAAAAGTCATATTAAGTGGTTGGATATTTATTTTCTTATTGAACTAACAGTGTAACATATTATTACAGAACCCTGCACTGTGCGTTGCAATTTGAAGAAATTGTGAGTTCTGTTTTAAATCAAGCTGAATTTTACATGTTTACAGATAAATGAGGACATTTTTCTATTTATTATTACAATAAATTATTAATTTGATCATCTAACATGCAGAAATATGTCCTTCACAGTGTCTCATGATGATAGAGAGTTTTAGGGCTTTTTTAATGGAAACAAGGAGACAAAGGTAAAATTTCCAATTCTGCTCTTTATTCTGCAGGTTGTAAAAACCTGATAACTCTTCCTCATCTTCCTGCTCTAAATCATGTTCAGTTCCTCTCTGACCACAGATCTTAAGACCTGAAAACAGACACACACCTCTAACACTCCTAATGTGTACAGGAACAACAGGAGCAACAAGGTGCTGCAGATCTCCATGTTTTCCAATCAGGCTGAAATATATTGGGATGAAAACAAACATGCTTTAGTAGAATAAACCCCCAGGTATAGAGATAGAAGTCTGATCTTTGAAACAAACCAAAAGCTGTGAAATATGTAGAAAATTCAGCCAGTTGTGAGGATTTGATTTGCACAGACTCATCCTCCTTTCAAAGATCCACACAGACTGCTGCAGTTTCTGTATTAACTCTAATGACTCCTCCTTCCACCCTTCCATCCGGGGTCGGGTTCTGGATTCAGCAGCCTAAAAGAGAGACCCAGACTTCCCTCTGGTCAGCTCCCAGTGTTCCCAGGCTAACATAGACAAACACTGATCAACATTTGATGTGCAATGATGGCACTTCGCAAAATATGATGCTTACTGTGTGGTGTCTTTTATAACTTTGTACTTTTTTGTTTTTACGTTGTAAAGCACTTTGAGCTCTCTTGTTGCTGAAATGTGCTACTAATAAATTTGATTGATGATGCAGCAGAAATAATGTGATGCTGGACCTGATGGGTGCAATGTTGTTCCCCAAATTCCTTAACAAAACATTGTAAATTTCTTTATGCTAGTGCTCAGAGAATAAATGAGAAATTATGTACTTAACTGTGTTGACCGACACATCAGGATTTTTCTTGTTCAAAACAATAAGATTTGAAAACTCTACATTTCTGGCATTTTCAACCTATCAGTGATTTGATGAGGTCTCTAAGGAGCAAACCATGGACCTCCAGCTTGGTATGTTTCCATAAATGTTGAAATTGTTCAACAACTCCTAAATTTACGGATGGCTTCAATTATCCAGGAGCAACTTTTCTTTTACCCAGACCCTGGTTGGTTTAATGGTGTCACTGACTCTAAAACAGATCCTCAACAATTATGTAAAAGACTAAACAAATAAGTCAATATCCGTATGAGCCAAATAAAAAAAGGACCTTTCAACATCATTGTGGTAGATAACACTGAATTATCTAAAGCATAAATTTAATTATAAACAGTAAATATATATTTTTCCATCTACTTCATCAACAGCAGATAGAGCAATTAAATTAAATGTTTCCCATCATACAAGTCAGTTATTTAATTTACCTAGCAGCATTGAGTCTTACTTCATTATCTGACACTATGGAGAGATTAGATTTTAAAGTCCTGACTTTTGGTAACTCAGTCAGTTGTTTCGAACAGATGAATATTAAACTTTGGCATTTTTAACTTTAAAAGCCTTTATCTCTCTGGAATAGCAGCCTGACATCCCTCCCTCTTCTTCCTGCTCTGAAACCTTGCAGCTGGGTGGAGCAAATGACTCCTGAAGCTGAAAGCTGATTGGCTGCAGCCTTTCTGCACTGACACGTGATTCATAGAGCAGAGACAAAAACTGTTTCTGTTCCCAGGAAGTGAAACTCACACAGTCACTGTGACTCAGAGGAGAAATGGAGCAGCAGGCAATTCAGCTGGACCGAGAAACCTTCTCCTGTCCGATCTGCCTGGATATACTGAAGGATCCAGTGGCTATACCTTGTGGACACAGCTACTGTATGAAGTGTATTAATGATCACTGGGATCAAGAGGATCAGAAAGGAATTCACAGCTGTCCACAGTGCAGAAAAGCCTTTACACTGAGGCCTGACCTGGAGAAAAACACCATGTTAGCAGGTTTAGTGGAGCAGCTGAAGAAGACTGGACTCCAAGCTGCTACTGCTGATCACTGCTATGCTGGACCTGAAGATGTGGCCTGTGATTTCTGCACTGGAAGAAAACTGAAAGCCATCAAGTCCTGTTTAATCTGTCTGGTCTCTTACTGTGAGAAACACCTGCAGCCTCATTATGAAGTGGCTCCTTTAAAGAAACACAAGCTGGTGGAGCCGTCCAAGAACCTCCAGGAGAACATCTGCTCTCAGCATGATGAGGTGATGAAGATGTTCTGCCGCACTGATCAGAAGTCTATCTGTAGTCTCTGTTTACTAGATGAACATAAAGGTCATGACACAGTGTCAGCTGCAGCAGAAAGGACTGAGAGGCAGAGAGAGCTGGAGGAGAGACGAGGAAACATCCAGCAGATGATCCAGGACCAAGAGAAAGATGTGAAGCTGCTTCAGCAGGAGGTGGAGGCCATCAATCGCTCTGCTGATAAAACAGTGGAGGACAGTGAGGAGATCTTCACCAAGCTGATCCGTCTCCTCCAGAAAAGAAGCTCTGAGGCGAAGCAGCAGATCAGATCCCAGCAGGAAACTGAAGTGAGTCGAGTCAAAGATGTTCAGGAGAAGCTGGAGAAGGAGATCACTGAGCTGAAGAGGAAAGACGCTGAGCTGGAGCAGCTCTCACACACAGAGGATCACAACCAGTTTCTCCTCAACTCCCCCCGACTGCCAACACTCAGTGAGTCGACACACTCATCCAGCATCAACATCCGTCCTCTGAGACACTTTGAGGACGTGACAGCAGCTGTGTCAGAGCTCAGAGGCAAACTACTGGACGTCCTGAGAGACTCATGGACAGACATCTCACTGAAGGTCACTGAGGTGGATGTTCTAATGTCAGAACCAGAACCAGAACCAAAGAGCAGAGCTGGATTCTTAAGATATTCATGTGAAATCACTCTGGATCCAAACACAGCATTCAGACGGCTGAGACTATCAGAGGGGAACAGGAAGGTGACATTGATGAAACGCAATCAGTTTTATTCTAGTCATCCAGACAGATTCACT